AGATTCGGGAGGCGACCTTTGAGAGAAGTGCAGACGAGGTCGCCGTTGAGTGCCACGACCACCGTCCTTGCAACTTTGTGAAAGGCAAGCCCCCGGAGCATATTAAGCCTCCTATTTTCCGAACTACGATTCTGATATTATTATTACATATATTGTTGCATTAAGTTTAGGTGTTGGATGCAAACACTTAACTTCGCATTGGTTACCTATTCCTTGTCCAGATATTGTTACCACGAATCCTATGTAGCTCTGTGCTCGAGTAGTGCTTAGCCCCTGCTTAAACGCTTGTAGAAGTCGGGTGATTTCTGTCACTGCGAGATATAGGAAGATACATGTGGCACGGTTGGCTATATTTGCTATCGTGGAAAAGAACCGATCTTAATTTGAAATGAAGACCGGACGGAGGCTTGCCTTGGGTTTGCGGTGACTCCGTCATGTAAACAAGGACTGATTCTTGGAGCCTTTCCTGTTCATGTTGAACGATGCCTCTCTCTCTTAGTTGGCGGGGTGCGGAGACCGACCACGAAGCCAAGTAGCTCACCTCGGCCGGGAGTCGATAAGTATAAAATGCGCCTCGGAAGGGAGCCGAGGCGTGAGTCCAAGGCGGTGATTTAAAAGTCCCGATGATAAATCTGGCGGAAGGGTAATCCCACGAGAGTGTTGGTGGCTGATCGAACCCGCGAATTTGGTTCTGAGATGTTCCAAAGGTGACCCACGGCTACCCTTGCAAAGTATGCGGGGTGAGAGTTAGAATACCCCTCGGTGAGTTGTAATTCGATTGAATCGCCGTCTCTCCCGGTTAGTGAGAACTTGACGGGCTTATCTCCAATGTAGATACACTTAATAACTTAATGGTTGGAAATGATGATATGATGATGACAAATGACCTTATTATACTGCTATGGTTAATATTGTTTGCTCCTAATAAGTGAGTGCTCTAGTACGGTGCTAATCTAGTGGACAGTAAATGATGATAAGCTTGATGCTAAGTTTAAATTGGTTACTATGCTCATAAGCTCTTTTATGCAAATGTGTCAAGCTAGCCCACACGAAAAGCCTTGCATGATCCTTGGTGTCTTTTATTTCGATTTTTGTCGGGTAAGTCTAGTGAGTACCTTCTCGTACTCGGGGTTTATTTCCCACATTCTTCGATGACCAGTTCTTCTTTGGTTCTTCGCAAATCGCTTTCTCCCCTCGCTGGGATGAAGACTAGACCGTTGGGCGCGGTCTCTACTAGTTCTCGTAAACCGATAATGCTTTTGTGGGACATGACTACGATCGGCAATGTAATTGAAACTATGAAGTTATGTACTAAACTATGTTGCTTCCGCACACTCAAACTTGGTTTGTAATATTTTATTTGAACTCGATGGATGTAATCCCAATGCTACTTGTGAAATGTTGTAACGAATGATGTGTTGTGTTGAATCATTACGATCTTGGTTTGTATGTCGAGAGTTGGTTGAAATCCTTCGTGATTTCCGGACTACCGGGATTATGGGAGCTTAAGTACAGGAATTTGATCGCTTCGGTGATTGTTTTTGTACTTACGTTCTTATGATTTGGTCGGTTCTGTTACAGGCCGGGTCGTCACCCCCGTGACGCGCCGTGTCGTGATCTGGGCATGGTGTCAAGTAACCAAGGATCGGGTCGTCGCTTCCTTAGTGGCGCGCTACATCGGCGCCCGGGTGTAGTGAAAAATGAGCAAGGGTCTTCGCATCAGAGTCGACGGGTGCGAAGAGTAAGGAAGCTAGTCGAACCAACTAGGATCCATTTAGGTAGTTGGAATGTAGGGTCACTTACAGGTAAGTTAAGAGAATTAGTTGATACCGCGACTAGGAGGCGTGTAAATATATTATGCGTTCAAGAGACTAAATGGAAGGGGGGAAAGGCGAAGGAGTGAACAATCTGAGTTTCAAGCTTTGGTACACAGGGGACGGTCATGAATAGAAATGGAGTAGGAGTTTTGATTGATAAGAGCCTCAAGAATGGTGTGGTGGGAGTGAGAAGGCAAGGAGATAGGATTATCTTAGTCAAGCTTGTCGTTGGTGATATGGTCTTGAACGTAATTAGTGCGTATGCCCCCAAGTAGGCCTCGACGAGAGTGCTAAGAGACAGAGCCTGGGAAGACTTAGATGGCACTGGTTAGAGCTATACCTAGTAGTGAGAAGCTTTTATAGGAGGAGATCTTAATGGGCATGTAGGTACTACAAGCCTTGAGTTTCGAGGCGATTCATGGAGGTTTTGGGTATGGTAGTAGGAATCGAGGAGGGGAGGAAGTTTCGGACTCAGCAGGTAGCTTTTGACCCGATGATAGCCAACACTTTCTTTAGAAAGAGAGAATCTCATCTAGTGACCTTCAATGAGCGGACAACACCAGAGCTGATTGACTTTGTCCTCGCAAGAAGAAAGGATAAACGAGCATGCTTGGATTGCAAGGTGATACCCGGGGAGTGTGTTGTTTCTCAACATAAGCTTTTGGTGGCGATTTTTCGCAAAGGTGCGTGCCAGTAGGGATAAACAAGCTAAGATTGAAAGAACAAAGTGGTGGAAACCGAAAGGGGAGACGCGAGAGGTATTTAGGGAAAGGGTTATCAAAGAGGGCTCTTGGAAGGAAGAAGGCGACATAAACAATATGTGGGACAAGATGGCAACCAACATTAGGAAGGTAGCCTCAGAGGTGTGTGGAGTAACCAAAGGAAGGGGACGAGGCTAAAGACACTTGGTGGTGGAGCGAGGAAGTCCAAAGGGCTATTAAGGAGAAGAAAGAATGCTATAGACGCTTGTACCATGACAGAAGTGTGGACAACATAGAGAAGTACAAGGTGGCAAAGAAGATCAGAAAGCGAGCATGTAAGTGTGGCAAAGGGTAGAACGAGGATCTTTACCAACATTTGAGTCTGAAGGAAGGAGAGAAGGACATTTATAGGATGGCTAGGGTTCGTGAGAGAAAGACACGGGACTTCAACCAAGTTAAGTGCATTAAGGATGAAAGGAGCATCTCTTGGTAAAGGAGGATGAGATCCGACACCGATGGCAAGAGTATTTTGACAAATTGTTCAATGGTGAGAATATGGACACAACCTTTCGGTTGGATGACTCTTTTGATGACACCAATAGGCGCTTTGTGCGGAGAATCCAAGAATCGAGGTCGAGAGGCGTTGAAAAGGATGAAAGGAGGTAAGGCGATGGGACCGGATGGTATCCCAATCGAGGTGTGGAGATGCCTCGGGGACATAGTCGTAGTATGGTTGACCAAGTTGTTCAACCATATTTTTCGATCAAACAAGATGCACGATGAGTGGAGGAGAAGTATATTGGTACCGATCTACAAGAATAAAGGGGATATTCAAAGTTGTACAAATTACCGGGAATTAAGTTGATGAGCCATACTATGAAGCTATGGGAGAGAGTTATCGAGCATCGCTTGAGAGCAATAACGCTGGGTCTCTATGAACCAATTTGGTTTCATGCCGGAAGGTCAACCATGGAAGCCATTTTCTTAATAAGACAAGTTATGGAGCGGTATAGGGAGAAGAAGGAGGACCTACACATAGTTTTTATTGACTTGGAGAAGGCTTATGATAAAATACCAAGGAATGTTATGTGGTGGGCTTTGGACAAACATAAAGTCCCAAGAAGCACGTCGGGCTCATTAAGGACATGTACAACAATGTTGTGACTAGAGTTCGAACAAGTGATGGAGACACGGATGACTTCCGATTAGGATAGGACTACATCAAGGGTCAGCTTTGAGCCCTTATTTGTTTGCTTTAGTGATGGATGAGGTCACAAGGGACATACAAGGGACATCCCTTGGTGTATGCTTTTCATGGACGATGTAGTGCTAGTTGATGAAAGCCGGACAGGAGTGAATCGTAAAGCTGGAGTTATGGCGGGGAGACTTTGGAGTCCAAAGGTTTTAGACTTAGTAGAACTAAAAGCGAGTATATGAGATGTGACTTGGCACTACTACTCGGGAGGAGGAAAATGTTAGTTTGGAAGGTCAAGTAGTGCCTAGGATGGATACCTTTCGATATTTAGGATCAATGCTACAGAGAGGGACGGAGATATTGATGAAGATGTTAGCCATAGAATCAAAGCGAGGTGGTGGATGAAGTGGCGGCAAGCGTCTGGTGTCCTATGTGACAAAAGGGTACCACGTGAAGCTAAAAGGCAAGTTTTATAGGACGACGATTAGACCTGCTATGTTGTATGGTGCGAGAATGTTGGCCTACGAAAAAGACATATATATTCAACAACTAAGTGTCGCGGAAATGCGTATGTTGCGTTGGATTTGCGGGCATACAAGAAGGGATCGAGTTCGGAACGATGATATACGTGAGAGATTAGGGGTAGCGCCAATTGAAGAAAAGCTTGTCCAACACCGGTTGAGATGGTTTGGACATGTGCAACGGAGATCTTCAGATGCACCGGTGCGTAGTGGAATCCTAAGTCAGGATAGTAACGTGAAGAGAGGCAGAGGAAGACCGAAGTTGACTTGGGTAGAGACAATAAAAGGAGACTTGAAAGGATGGAATATACCTAAAGACTTAGCCTTAGATAGAAATGCTTGGAAGACAGCTATTCACGTGCCTGAACCTTGATTGTTTCTGTTGGGTTTCAACTCTAGCCTACCCCAACTTGTTTGGGACTTAAAGGCTTTGTTGTTGTTGATCGAAACTGTGAAATAGTAAACTGTCGGAGGTGAACTGGAGAGGGTACTATCCTCCACGTGATGAACCACGCACTGCCATTTCCGTAGGTAGCAAGCACAACAACAATGAGAATCTACGTCAGCATCTTCCCCATTCACAACCTAATTCTACATCGCCACAGCACACAGCCACAAGAGCAATGCTCCAAGCAACACGAAGAAAACTTTGCTTTCTTCAAGTACAGGCCGACGATCACCCAATAACAGGCTCGCCTCCAACTACTCTTCATGAGAAGATGGGAATGGAATGGATGAAGTGTCCAGCCGAGTATGACGAGGCTGGTTAGTTGGCCGGGTGGTTGTACTTCCTGAATACTCTCTCCTGGTTCTCCCTCCACCATTCCTCGGCCTGCTGCTCCGCAAATCTCCTCTTGCTGATCGGGAAACAGCCAAGAAAAAACAAATGGTCAGCTCAAATTGTTCCTAGAAGCAAAATTTTCTTGGCACAAAATGAAAACTACCAAGTGCTTTGGAGCTATGTAATTAATGTGCTATCTAAGTGATTGGTGGTGGTTTCTTCTCTATGCAATGAAAGGAAAATGACCTACAGTAGGGTACCTGAATCTGACACGCTTGAACACTTTAGTACCATCTCTAAGCTGGATGAGTGTCACATATACCCCTGGTTCAAACTGCTCAATCAGTTGCACTTCTCCATGAGTACCAAGCTTTGGTCCTAAGTCACCATTAGCTCTCGAGCTGTTTTCCATGATACGATGGCATGGAGATTCGCTCGCCAAGGAAACAGCTGAGCTACTTGCATTTCCTGTGCTGCCGTCCTGAGACATTACGAGGTTGCCTATGCTTGCAGACTTACGATGCATACCTGTGACTTCCAGTGGACGAATACCTTGTTCCGTAAGAAATCTCGCTGAATGATTTTGCAAGGTTTTTAAGTTGTCAGCAGCATCACTGGGCACCCTATCTGCAATACTCTTGAGCTGAAGAATGAATGGACGTGATGCAGTGAGCACTCCAAGACAGATCCAGTAAACATGTAAATAAAGAACCCCTATTTTATGAACCACAAAACTTATATCGAGTCAGGTTATTCCCTATTCAAATTTAAAAATAAGTTCTCTTAATACTACGCTTTTTCATTCGCAACAATGTTGAGGCACACCTCTATTTGTATTTTAATTGTATTATAGAAATCTTGGTACTGTAAATTGAACAGAATAAAAAGAAGCATACTACTGAGTCTCAAGTATGCAGCATGATATGAACTTAAAATTTCAACATGCAGGCTCAAGAGCTGCATTCAGTCTTACAAAAGTAGTTTAATAATTTACCTCATTGTCAAGAAACCTAATGAACTCCAAGACACCATTACGCCTTGAAGACTCTTCTGCAGCTATAGAGGCAGAATTTTCAGCTCTCCTTTCCGCTTTCTGCAGTTGCTCTTCTTGGGCATCACATTTTTGTTTCAATTTATTAACCTGACAAAAAAAATCGACCATTTTATCAACATCAACTATAAACACGATAAAGGCAAAAAAAACCTACGGTATTCTAAATCATACCTGAGACTGCAACTTTGAGATATCTTCATTCAGCACCTGTTTAGCCACCTTCAAGTTATCAGTGTCACTTTTACCACAAAGAGGAGTCGCTGCTGATGGACTTGGCTTCTTTGTGAGAGGAGATGATGACATAGGCATGGCCATTGGCATTGGAGCCATTGCCATAGGCTTCAGACTAGCTGGACCACCAAATGTTGCACCAAAAGCGAGATTGTTAAAAGGTAACATGGAAGGAACTTGGGGTGCCCTCATTGTGGACATAGGATCTGGTTTTATGTCGTTTCTAACTGCTTTTATCTCAGCTTGCTTGAGCGGTTCTGGTGTTGATCCAGTTGCAAGCCTGGAAGGCCTTATTTCTGGCCTCTCTGACCTGTCTTTGCTATCAACAGAGCGACGAGCAATGGCATTTCTTTTGCTGTGTGAACTGTTGCTGCTGGTCTCTGCAGCCTTAAGTTTCATGAAGCATGAATCGCATACGCGATGTGGTTTGCCAGGAGTTGGTGCCAAAGCAGCTTTCAGAACTTTTCTTGAACTACACGCATGGCAATGAACAAGCCCACAATTGTAACAATTATGTCTCTTTCTTGTGAATCCAAATGGTTGCCTACAACCTGAGCAGACAGACTGATCAGCACCTGAAACCCACTTATGTATACAAATGCAGGTCGTGAAATTAGAACCACATGCTATACTTTTAACATGACGATCTTTTAATGCTTCCACAAGAGTTGGCTTTTTCTTATCTTCAACACCACCATGTCCCAGCCTCCCATTGGCCCCCATTCCCCATGTATATACTTCGCTTCGTGAAGTCAAGACTGCAACATGGCATGAGCCACATGAGATCTCTTCAACCAATTCTCCAGCCAGCCTATCTTGTACGGAAATAGGTTGTTTACCGTCAGATTTTGGATTCCCAAGCTGGCCATTGCTAGAGCTGCCCATTGTGAAAACATGACCAGATGTAGAGAGGGCAATGGTCATACTATGTCCACAAGCCACCTGATGGAAATTATAATCAATGAGAGATTGAACGCAAGCAGGAACAAGCCTAGCATCTTTATCCCCGAGACCTAGTTGATTCTTGTCACCAGCACCCCAGGTATATAGCTTCCTGGACATCACATTCACACCTGCCTGATTACTACCCTCCACAATCGCAGCAGAATGCCAGAGTCCACAGGCAACTTTCATTGTTCTAAATCCACTCAAAGTTTCGATTTCCTTTGGATATGCAATAGTTTCACGATTCCCATGTCCAAGAGCACCAAATGTTCCATCACCAAAAGTGAACACTTTACCACTTGATGTGGTCAGTGCTGAATGCCATGAGCCGCATGAAACAGACAATACCTGAACCCCTTCTAAAGGTCCTGAGACTCGTTTTGGAAGCCAGTGGCTAGCTCCAACACCATGTCCAAGCAATCCAGCATTGTAGTATCCATCACCCCAAGTGTACAAATCACCAGAGGCAGTTACAGCACAAGTATGGAACTCCCCGCATGCAATATATTCTACATTTGATACTGCTAAGGCTTCAACAAGTTTAGGACGACTAATATCTGCATCGGTCCCATGACCAAGCCGTCCGCCAAGTTCTTCACCCCATGCAAATACTTCTCCTTGCCTAGTAGTGAGTGCAATGTGCCTATAACCACACGCTATCTGTTGTACGTCCAAGACAACATCTGATTCAAGTGGTTTAGGAATTAAAATGTCTGCTTTGGAGCACAAATAGTTTGAGGATCCTTCTGTGGGGATCACATCAGTCCATACCTCACCCCACACATAAACATCACCAAGGGATTCAATGTCATCTTGTCCAGAACCTTGACTTGAAGAACTAGGAGCACTGGAAATACTAAGCCGGCTACTGTCTGTACTTGCTCTTAGCATATTTCCACGATCAGATACAACATCTGTTTTTGCTGAGTTGAGAGAATTGGTTGTGCTATAGCCAGCTGAGTTAAAAGTACGTGTAATACTTGAGGCAATATCTAGTGTTGTATCATGAAAACTGTTATCTTGGTAATGTGATACTTCCTGAAAAACATAAAGAAATGCTTAGCTTGAAAATTCTGCAACACTTGATCAAAGGTAAGGAACAGTAGAATCTGGGGCAGTCCAGCTGATACAAGAAAGGTCAAGTGGGTAAACTACTAAGTACTACTTTATTAGAGGTTAACTACTATGCGGAATAAATAAGAACCAAATAGCCCCCCACCCCCCACCCCTTGTTTTGTTTGTTTGTCAAAGGTACCATAGATCACATACACGCTTATCCTTATGACTTTGTAAACATATAATGACATATGTGTGCATCGATCAAAATACCATATTTCCTAAAGCAAACCTCACACATAGAAACCAATGTATTAATGAAATTTGAACCAATCTCAAATACTGAAAGCAAACCTCACACATAGAAAATATAAGTATTGATTTAACTGTAAAGTAAACAATGTGGCAAACTATTAGGAACATCAACTCACATCTGAGACTGATAACCTATCACTTGGACCATCAGCTGAATAACTTTTACGGCATGAAGTAATAAGTGTCTCAAGTGTTGAAAACCAGACCTCAACTTCTGCTTGATCCTTGCAAACCTGTAGATCAGCTAGAATCTTATGTAATTAAGGTCTTCCACGAATTGTAGAAAAAGATAGATCTAAACACATAACTTCTGCCACTAGTTTAGTGAAAGTTGTCTAAATCATATATACTTTACCAAGTCAAGGGAACGTTGGCCGTTCTTGTATATCAAAGAAAATGATAGGTAGTCCTTCTCAGGGCGTAAAAACCTCCTAAATACAGCCTGCCAAGAAAAGGAGATGAATTCATGTATGTCAAATTGAAATGTCTGAGACCCCATGTCGGAATAAATTATTGGACACTAAATATTGTAGTTTGACACTAAATTATTTGTATAGCAGCAAAGTAACTGTCGGGGACCAATTCCAGGGTACCCGAAGAGGAGGAGCTAATAACCATCAACGTTAATTCATCCGAGAGGTCAAGGGCGCGACTACAGCTCTTGCCGACCCCCAGGTACACAAGCTCCGCCTCGCTCGACCCTTGGGTCCGCGCTCCGCCTCGCCCGACCTCCGAGGGCCGGTTCCGCCTCGCCCGACATCCGAGGGCCGGCTTCGCCTCGCTCGACCTCCGAGGGCCGGCTCCGCCTCGCCTGACCCTTGGGTCCGCGCTCCGCCTCGCCCGACCTCCGAGGGCCGGTTCCGCCTCGCCCGACCTCCAAGGGCCGGCTTCGCCTCGCCCAACCTCTCGAGGGCCGGCTTCGCCTCGCTCGACCTCCGAGGGCCGGCTCCACCTCGCCCGACCCTTGGGTTCGCGCTCCGCCTCGCCCGACCTCCGAGGGCTGGTTCCGCCTCGCCTGACCTCCGAGGGCCGGCTCCGCCTCGCCCGACCTCTGAGGGCAGGGCTCCGCCTCGCCCGACCCTTGGGTCCTCGCTCCGCCCGACCCCTTGGGGCGGGACTCGCACCACCCGACCTCCGAGGCGGGGCTCGGGACCCTTGGGTCCGCCTCCGCCCGACCCTTGGGTCCGCGCTCCGCCTCGCCCGACCCTTGGGTCCGCGCTCCGCCTCGCCCGACCCTTGGGTTTGGGCTCCGCCTCGCCCGAGCTTTGGGATTGCGCTCCGCCTCGCCCGGCCTCTGGGGAGGAACTCCGCCTCGCCCGACCCCAAGGCTGGAGGCTCCGTCTCGCCCAACGAAGACCCATACCGCCTCCAACCACTCCAGGTCCAAGCATATGGGTCTGGGTCAAAGCTCTGACGCTAGGGAAGTGACCGGCACGCCCCGATATAACCCGTGGGCGTGACGGGCCATACCTAGGGACTCACATCAGGAACAGCGTCGGGCGTACTGGTACTGTTCTGCCTAACCCTTGTACGAACACTAACAGACGCGTCGGTTCACCACGACGTCCGCCAGGACGGAGTGGAGCGCCACGACCGGGAGACGACGCCTGCACCTGGCACCAGTGATGGACAGGGCCGCGACGTGGAGCTGTCCCTGTTGACATTTACAGGGTCGGCGGGACCCACGTGAAGGAAAAGAAGGACCCGTCGATCCTGGAGGACTTTTTCTCCCTCTCATTCCCCTCTTTTCCCTTCGTTGTAACCCCTGCTTTCCCTTGGCCTATAAAAGGGGAAGCAGGGCGTCCCATTAAGGGGACCGATCCCGCATTCGAACACATCCCAGCTCAACTCAAATCCGAACCGATCGGAATTCATCGCAACACACCACCAGAGACTTGGGACCGGTCCCTCTCTCGACCTATTGTAACCCCTACTACGAACTTTCAGTGCTAGTAACACGAGTAGCAGCAACGAACTGGACGTAGAGACATTCTGCCCGAACCAGTATAAACCTTGTGTCCTCTTAACACCCCATCCGGGCCAGACGCGTAATATTAGAAATTTACTTGTTGGTGGCAACTCGAAACACCGACAGTAACCATCTAACTCAGTGGAAAGTTGTGCTTTGACTTACAGTTCTCTGTCCAGGAATGATTCTAGAGACTGAAGACAGTACAAGGTGCTTCACTTTGCTATGGGAATGCCATACTAATGATGTTTCATCCTGTAATGAGAAATCATCAAAGGAATGTTATCTGTGTACAGGCACTTAAGAAGTTAAAATTGGCATAAGAACTTACACTAGAAAGTCTGAACTCACGAATCTTGGGTCTTCCCTTCCGACTGTACTTGATAAGATTACTGCCTTTTTTGAGAGTTATAAGGGCCTTTGGGGCATATGGAAATGTTAGCATTTCCAATTGACTAGGGCTTAATGACATGCTCAGGAAAATAGAATAAAAGGGACGGCATTTAGATACTCACATTATCATCTGGTGTCATCTAAACAGTAACATGTCAACATCCTATTTTCAGGTAGTGGATCTTGATCACCTGCAACTGCACATGCAGGCTAACGTTGGGACCTCAGCATCACCAAGAACGGATTCAGAACAAATCAACATGAAACGTCGCTGCCATTGATATTGAAGAAAATTGTACGGTGATCATAACAATACGAAATTTCCAGATTTATTGACAACAACCAATACGTTCTTATAGGATACCGACCCATGCGCATTACAGAAAAATCTTGACATTACAGAAAAATCTCTTAACCTCCCAATCTTGGCTGGTTCCTTTTTTTTCTGAAACATTACAAAAAAATGGATTGACATTTCCAAATAGATTAACGGTGTTGTATATATGGGGGAAATAAAATAATAAAAACAAACGAAATGCAACGCGATTAATACTTAACCACAAAGCGCATAATTCTGTTCCAGACAGGATGAAAGATTTGGAATTGAGGGCGCAGAACGAAATGCACAATCCATCCGACGCAAGCCCCCGTCTTGCATGCTTACCAGCAAAATAAGAAATCAATCGGAGTCCGGATGGGTCTTCACTCCGCGCCAGTCTAGAGGGGACGAGGACGACGAGAGAAGGGCGGGGAGCGAGGTTGGGGTGGAAGGACACATTGATCTGCATGGAGGGAGAGGGAGGCGTGTTCGGCGGGGAGGGCGGGGAGGAGGAGCATAACGATAGTTGGGGAAGGAACGAGTGGTCTGCGGGATCGGTTGAACACGGTCGGGTTGTCGTTGAACAGGTGGTCAATTGGCTATTGTGGCTTACTGCCGTACGGCTCAAGTGCTCATTGAAGTCTTGGTGCTTATATAAACTGGAGCGTTTTTGAGTTTTTAACGCAAATGCATATGAATTCTTAAAAATTAAATAAAAGAAAAACACAATAAGAAGGGTCCTAGCACTAGCGAAGCTATAATTTTTTTTTTGTCGTCATTATACAGTCTCGTACTAAAATTAATTGGCACCGCCGCATTGACAGAGCTACGTATAGACTATTGTGGTCACCGGATCCCCACCTGTATAAAATTTTCACTATCACCTTCTTGTCATCCACTAATAATAGCAAGCATCACTAACAAATGAAGTATTTTTAACCACTAGTAGAACTAGTAGGCAGCAGCGAAATGAACGAGTGCAAGGGTGTTTCGCGTTGCCTGTCCTCGACTGCTGATGTGCTTTACTCACTACTCTCGTCTCGGGGTCACCGTTGACATCCGCACTCACCATGCAGGGCATGGTATTTCATACATCAACCGCCCACCATAATATCAAATAGCACATTGTGTATTTTGTCAAGCATAGAGTGCCCATCGAAAGATACGATAGAATGTAATAAAAATATCTACTAATTTTGGAAATATAGGCACAACACGCAAACACTTATATAACTCAACGCACACTCACTCTATGTTTATAAGCATCTTTAAGAGTTTAGACCAATAAAATTTGAATCAACGAAGCCACTGTTAATGGACATGTCATCTATCATAATTCATACCATAAAAATAGTTGGTCGAAAGAAAACGAGTGTTGCTCGTGCTGAGTCAACTTCGACCTCGAGTGGGTAAGTTCAACGAGAATAAACCTACGCTCGATTCACAAATAAAGATGCAGATTGTAGGAAGTAGTTCAGGTGCTCCTACATGCCACCATATGGTACTGCATGGAAATGACCACAAGAATTATATGAAAAGCCCCAACTAACATATGAATTGATGCTTAATGTTGTATGGTTGCTTATGTAATTTTAATATGACCATAGCTTAAAGTTGTGTGCATTTGTTGCGTCGCGCGTTGTGTACCCAATTATGTTTATTCCTCTTAATACAATGATACATGGCTCTCTTGCACATCCGTAAAAAAATAGATAATTTACTCGTCCATGTGTTATGCAAAAGCTGAGCTCAAAAATATTAAGGAGAGACAAAAAAAAAAGAGAAAGCAACCTGTGAACAGTGCAGGTGTCTAAAGAGAGATGGGTTGTTCAATCTTCGACTAGTTCCCTTCTTTATTTCTTCCTTGCTGTAGTTCAGTCTCAAAATTTGCGTAAACATGGATTAATATCTGATATAAATTCATTTCTACTGTAATTTTGTACTATGTACTTTTGAGGTGCTATATACCATGGCTTTGGTAGCTCAGAAGATTAAAGGAGACCTGCTGCAAAAGAATCCACAGGTCTCGTTTGCTTAACTGACCCAGACCCAGCAGCAGGCCTTGTTGAGAGCCCAAGTTCATTTTGCAACGGTTTGGGATTTTGGCCCATCCAGACACACAGCTTCTGTCTGAATTTTTCTCTCTGGAAGACACCCCACACGCCTTCACCACCACAGCGCCTGATAAATGTGCGCTATGATTCTTGAATTTGTTTAAGGACCACTTGCCAATTTTATCTGTGTCTATTCAGCTTGTTCGCTTGTTGGTTTCAGCCAAGACTCATCGGTCGTGGTACAACATTTTCCTCTCATGGCCCATCCAGACACACAGCTTCTGTCTGAATTTTTCTCTCTGGAAGACACACCACACGCCTTCACCACCACAGCGCCTGATAAATGTGCGCTATGATTCTTGAATTTGTTCAAGGACCACTTGCCAATTTGATCTGTGTCTATTGCCTGCTCATGACGCGCGGGTGACACACAATCGCAGGCTGCAGTTGCAAACCTCCAGAGCATGGGCAGTGAGAAGGCGACGGGACGAGACCCAAATGGTGAGGTCATGGTTGACGATCAACCGGGTCAGCGAGTCCGCGTGCCTCCGGCGGCCCGGCCGTTACACCCAACCCAACCCCAGCAGCACCTCGCGCTCGCCTGATGGTTGTGGAATTGACCCGCTGGCCGCCGCTCTGCCCCTCTCCTAGCCCAGTCTCAACGCACACAGACATAACACCTCACCAAAGACTCGTCGACTTGAGTATAGTACCTTCCTAAACTGTGTTCGTTGGTTGTGTGCTGCAGACTCCAATAAAATGGTCTGAAACCGTCGCTCCTGTTATGCGGTCGAGAGAACACACACACACACACACACAGAGACAGAGAGAGAGAGACGACGTGTTCTCTCCTGTGCTGACCCGGAACGGCCCTCTTTTTGCCTGTCATTTGTGTTCAGGATTCAGGAACAGTCAACAGGCAAGTTCGTTCAACCTTCACCTGTGGAGGCGTGGAGGCTCATCCGCTGATCCACTGCTGATCCGCAGTCACAGCACACCACACCAGCCGGGAATGACTTGGAAAGTTCTAAAACGAGGAGGAAATTAAAGCAGCCAAAGGAGAGCGGACTAGTGCCTGACTGCCACGGCCAGTCGGACGGCCACTGGTCCTCCCTCCAGCCGCCGCGCCGGCCCTTTTTGTGCGTCACGGCCAGCGTCAACAGCGGGCATGCTGGTTAAGCGCTGACGCACCACGCAGCTTCGATTTTCTTTTCTTTCTTTTTTTTTGGAAAAGTCGTAGCTTTCTAGTTTTGCCACCTTCTATTCGCTGGAACGGGGCCCATGGTTCCAAGAAGTCTCTCTCGGGGTCGGGGGCTGACCTGAAGAACGCTGACCTCGACGGGTGACGCTACGCGTGACGCCGGCTTACGTAACGACTGATCGTTGCTGCGTGGGTTGAGATTTTGGGACCTCAACCAACTAGCCTAACATTTGAGCAAGTCAGATTAGGCGATGAGATGATTCCCGTCAGCCAGAGCGTCGTTTACGACTGCAGCGTGGTGCCTACCTGTGCAAATGTGCAATGCGGTTGCGAATCTGCAGCCCGTTTGGTGGCTCTGCACTTTGTGCCTTTTGTCTGGTCTGGTCCCTTTGGGACGCTGTACACCTGGACAGGTCTCTAGATGCAGCAAGGCCACGGCCACCACTCCTCACTGCCTCCAGACTCCCTTGAGGACCAAGGAACGACCCTTGGAGGAACTTCGTTCAGATCAGATCGATCAAAGCGCAGCAAAGGCAAGGGGAATTCCTGAGGTGGTAACTGACGACACATGCATGCCAAGTTTGGTGTGAGATTATTTACTGCTCGAGAGGCCGTAAACGATCGTGGATTATTTACTGCTGGCTGGTTTAATGTGAGAGAAAAACACTGTTCCCAGCTAGAAATTTACGATCGTTTACGAGCAAACGAACAAGCTGAGTTCGAGCTGGCACCCGGCACCCAGAAGAATTATTGGCTGCTCTGCTCTGGCTTGCTCCATAAGAAGCGCTTCTTTCTTGAGGGCTACTACTCCCTGTATTGAAGTCTGTGGAGAGGAGTGCAATCGGTATGTGTGTGAACGCAAGACTTGAACTGCTCCGTGTTCTAGTCGATCAGTCTGTTTGCTGGTTAGTTTTTAGGCTAATAAGCCCGACTAATGCTGGTTTGTTGTGAGAGAAAAATATTGTACCATGACTGATAAGTTCTGGCTGAAACCAACAAGCGAATAGGCTGAATGCATTTTCTAGCATTTACAGGCTGGTCAACTGATCTCCAGCTGCAGAACATGTTGAGTTTACTATACATACAGTAAACACATTGTCAGCGGTAATAAACCGTTAGTCCACAATCGGAGAAGGCTAAACGATGGTGCCATGGAGAAAAAAGATCACTGCCTCAGACAAAACAAAACAAAAAAGGATCTAGAAAGCACACACATGTCAGCGGTGAGCTCATCCAAAGCACCTGGACAAGTGTCATGATGGTTCACATCACAACAGAGCATCCCCCCAGCTTTCCTGCCAACAACCAAGCAGACGTGTTTACGTGCACGACAGCGTCTCTGGGATATACTCCTACCTCTCGCGCTCTCGCTGCAGGGGACTCTGTCCGGGGCGGTCACTGATCACACACACCACACGGCCGCGTGCCACTTGGCCGGCGTCGCGCGCGGACAGGTCGCGGCACCGCGTCCATTTTCTTGCTGAGGAAAAAAAAAATCTCTAGAAGCCGGGGGCAGCGTAAAGGGCAGGGACAGGGACGACGACGAGACGCCACATGACACGAATCGAGCGCGTTTCTGGAGATGGAAATATGGAATGGAGCTGCGGTTGCTGGGCACGCCTGCCGCCTGCGGCGAGAGCCAGATGATGGGGGTCGCGGCCCGGGCGCCCGGCGTGTTGTGCTGCTTGCCACATTTGTCGGCAACTCCCAGAGTTGCTGACAAAATGTCCAAGCTTTTGGCATTGGACGTTGCTTTGGGTTTGGGACATGAGGGTGGTGGATTAGATATGGTTGGGTAAGGGTTGGGTTGGATGATTGGATCTGTGACTTGTCGACGAGGTGTTAATCGGTGTCAAGGATGCTGTCACTTCATGTGTTCCGAGGATAAACGTTTCATAGTTTTCACTCAAGCGGTTACTGCATGTACGGACATGTTCGTCTTGTTCTGCTGGATAGTGATGCCGCATCATAGAATGCAACTACGTTTGGGGTGGGGTGGGGTGGGGTGGGGTGTGGGTGTATTGGACAGGAAAATGGTTAGAGTGTCGCAGGATTTTTCAATAAAAAAAATTTCCTGTATTCAATGGTTCCTAAGTCTGTCAGTTGTGGGAGTCATCATAAATAAAAGAAAAAGGGGGTGACAAAATTAGAAGACGGACAGAGGAGGAAGAGGAAGAAAACAGGGGGCGATTTGTCCATGAAAAAGTAGTTTTTACTATTTCTTCAGCAGAAATATCAAGATGGAGTACAATCGGGTCACTGGTGAAATTCGCATAAACATCTAGCTGCTGCTGATGCGCATAAGCATCATCCGCAGCTCCTACATTGTGCACAGGATCATTGCCAACATCCAAGTCAGCGTCAAAAAGCTCAGCCTCCAGTTCAGCTTCAGATTCGTCTCCCCAGAAAAATTCATAGCTCGTCGTCTCCGCTGCCGGCGCAGCCACGGGTGCCTCACGGTGCACCTGCTCCGATGATGTCGCCACCGCCGTGCTGGGAATTTCACATTGCGTGGTTGGAAATTTCACTTCTTGGCCAGCGGCGGCGGCGGCGTCAGAAAGTTCTGAGTAACCGCTGCACACTTCGATCCAACCGTCGTCGGATTCCCAGTCCGGCAAGGCCGAGCAGGGGCCTGCCAGTGCCCTGATCCTGTCGGCTGCGCTCTCTGGCATCTCCTCAACCTCCTCCTCCTCATCTTCCTCCTCGTCTGACTCCCAAAATGCGGCATCCAGCATGCTCTTGGGAGACACCCACTTGGGCTTTGCATCCTCTGCTTTGCCGGCGGACGCCAAGAACGGGTGCTCCAGTAGCTGCGCCGCCGTCCACCGCTCGCTGGCCTCTCGCCTCAGGCACTTGTCCAGGAAATCCTTGGCCTCCGCCGAGAGCCACTCCGGCGCCTCCGGCACGGCGTCCGTGTACCCGATGAGGCGCACCGCGGCGAGCACGTCGTCCACGTGCGTCCACGGGGCGCGCCCGGTGGCCATCTCGATGACGGTGCATCCCAGCGCCCAGACGTCGGCGGCGGGGCCCTGGTCCTCCCCGCGCGCCACCTCGGGCGCCATGAACGCCGGAGTGCCGCCGATGGGGCCCCTGCTGGAGTCCGCTCTCCTCGCGCACCCAAAGTCCGCGAGCATGGCGCGGCCGTCGGCCCCGATCACCACGTTCCTCGCCTTGACGTCGCCGTGCACCACGGCCGCCTCCTCCCCGTGGAGGTACGCGATCCCGCGGGCCACGTCCGCCGCGTACGTCCGCACGGCGGGCTCCTCCAGGCGGCCCCCGTTCCGGGCCACCGCGTCGGCCAGCGAGCCGCCGGGCGCGAACTCGAGGAGCAGCTGGAACTCCTCCTTCCCTCCCGCGGCGGCGCGGAAGCCCAGGCAGGGGAGCACGTGCGGCGAGCGGAGCGAGGCCATGATCCCGCCCTCGCGCCGCAGCTGCGCCGCCGCCGCCGTCGCGCCGCCCGGCGCCGACTTGACGGCCACGAGCTCGCCCTCGCCCGCCGCGAAGAGCGACACGACGGCGCCCGACGCGCCGCGGCCGAGCGTTCGGAGCCGCGTCAGGCGGCGGCCGCTGATCCCGGCGTCCGTCATCATCTGTGGCCTGTGGGTGTGGATTCGTGATCCCACTGGGTTTCTTTCGGTTTCTTGGGGCTAGGTCTCGGGCAATGCAATTGGAGTCTGCGTGGCCGCGATGCCGCCGATCTGGCTGCGACCGCGGATTTATAAGCGTGGGTTGGGGGAGGCCGAGGCCGAGCCGAGTTCGGTGGCGCGGTCGCGAGAGCACGTGAGGAATGCGGTGACGCGGGGGCGGGGGCGGGGGCGGGAGAGGCCGAGCCGAGTTCGGTGGCGCGCTCCGCTCGCCGCGTGCGGTGACTGGCTTGTGGGCCGCGCAGGGCGGGTCCTGATCGGTCGAGATATTTGGCCACGTGGGACGCACCGAACGTGGGTTTTTGCGGGCAAAGCACAAGTGGAAAACGAGGGCGAAATGGTTATTTGGGGCTGCAGGCTGCTGGATGCAGGGCACACTACGCGTGTCGGTTCCGAGAGGAAGCTTCTTGGGTTTTATTTGTGGCGCGGTAAACCGCGACATTTGCACAGTCCGTTCGCTTCGCTGAAAAAACAAACTGAAACACTGTTTCGGCTGATTTGTTGTGAGAGAAAAATATTATTCCGACTGAAAAAAACAAGCTGAAAAGTACGGATTATAAGAGAAACGAAAACGAAGCCATGGTCTCATGGATATCATGAAACAAAGTTATCTAGAGGTATCAAAGCCAGAGATAATATGGCGCGGCTAAAGTACATCAACGTTGTTGGTTGTAGATATGATTATATAATGGCCAGTACATAAGATTTATGATGGTGGAAGAGCGGAAGACTTGATAGTGTATAGAGTTATTGGATTTTTTAACTAAATAAAAGATGTTGTATAACATGCAAAATATCCATATAGAGGAAAACAATATCTTAGTTTTATTTTGCTTATAAGGAGCATTCTTGCCATAACGATGAATAAGTAGATAGCTCTAGCTACTAACGATGAGTAAATAGATAGCTCTAGCTACAAGGTCAATCCATTGCTCATAAACAAATGCCTGCTCATCATATCATCTAATAGCTCAAGTTGATAACGTGTTTGGATAGCGGTGATAGACAACGAAGACCTCTTCTTTTTTCATGATGGCTAGCAGGAGATCTAGCAAGCTTGTTTGAATAGAGGAGAGTATTGGTACTAAAATCCTTTTGGGTGTTGTTGGGAATCTATCAAGAGTCTTAAAGAAATATCTTGTCTTTTCAACAGCGCGAGCGGGGCCCAACATCAGGCATTGAACAAAAAAAATCATGCAAGGTGCAGCCGAACAGGATACTGCGGCATTTATCTAGTTCAATGAATATGCATGAAAAGTTATCTAGAGCTTGTCGGCATCGAAGCCACGGATAACAAGACACCATAGAAGTGCATCAAAGGTGTTGGTTGTAGATCTGAGTGTGGATGCATCGATAGAAAGAATAGAAATATGTAAAATAAGTGCTGTTGTCAATGCATAACATGTGTGGAGGAGGAAGAGCACAAGACCTTTAGTCCACTTGATAGTATTTAGGATTGTCGGATCGTTTAATGGAAAGGGATTTTGGCGACGCCCAAAATATCCATAGGAAAAAATGTCCTAGCTGTATTTTGCTTATACATGGAGCATGAAATGCCTAAGAAGATAACGCTATGTAGTCAATTTCACTACTTATACAAAAATATAGTTCATTTATCTAATAGCTCGTGTTAGAGACGTGTTTGGGTAGCAGTGATATCCTTATGGGCATCAAATTCCTTTTCTTTTATTCAAAATGGTTCTGCCAAGCTTTTATTAATAGAGAGAGAGGAGAGTATCAGCATCAAAATCCTTTTTGGGTGTTGTTGGGAAGATTTGAAGAACTCGTAAAGCAATGTATCTTGCTTTTTTTAGCACTGAACTCGTAAAGCACTGAGTCCCAACATGAGGTGTTCAAGAAAAAAATCATGCAAGATGAAGCTAAAGAGAATAGTATGACATTTGCTACTTCAATAAATGTGCATAAAAAAGTTATCTAGAGTGTTTTTGGCATCGGAGTCACAGCTAACAAAGACACCATAAAAGTGCACTGAATGTGTGTGTTTCTTTAGATGGGAGAATAGATGTTGTTTAGATCTATGGCGGTGGAAGAGCAGAAGATATTCAGGATTGTTGTTTTGTTGCACAGAAAGGGGTTTTGGTGACGTCCAAAATATCCATAAGAAAAACAATGTCCTAGCTGTATTTTGCTTATATGGAGCATAAAATGCCAAAGGACTGATAAGTAGGTAACACTACATAGTCAATCCCACCGCTTATAGAAAATGCCGCTCGTTATCTAATGGCTTATGTTAAGGACGTGTTTGGATAGCAATGATAAGCATTAGAATCCATATCCTTCTTCAAAATGGCTAGCAAGAGATCTGCCAAGCTTGTAATAAAACATGATAGTATCAGCATCAAAATCTTTTTCGGTGTTTTTATATCTATCTAAAGAGCTCTTAACGAAAATATCTTGTTTGTCTAGCATGGAGTCCCAAGATGAAGCATTTGAGAAAAAACATGCATGGTGCAGTCAAAGAGGACACTGTGATATTTGTGCATGATAAAGTTATATAGAGTTCGTTGGTATTAAAGCTACAACTAACACGAAATCGTAAATTTCACTGGGAAGGGTGGTTGAAATAGCAGTTAACTAGACACTGTAAATTTCACTGAGAAGGGTGGTTGTAGATATGAATCTAGATAAATTTATTGCAAGAATATGAACATGTAAAGTAAGTGTTGAGGGACATAAAGATTTGTAGTGGCAGAGAAGAATACGTGTGGTCCATTTGATAGTATTAGGGTTGTTTGAAGAGCAAAATATCCATACGAAAGACATTGATGCCATGCTTGTATTCTTCTTAATTACATGGAGGAATGAAATGCCAAAATAACGAATAAGTAGATTATGCCATATTGTTAATTCCATCGCTCATACGTAGTACTGCTCATCATCTAATGGCTTATACACAATAACAATCATCATCAACCGCAAAGTCTTTTCATTTTACAGAAATAGTTGCCAAGATATCCGTCGAACCTATATATTAAGAACATGGAACCATAATACAATGTATGGTATTAAAGTTATCCATCAAACATCAAAACCGCCACAAACTAAAGTCTCATTATTTACCACACCCAAAGTAAATAGGCAATTAAGGGAATATAGTAACGTGAATATGTAGAGATGGGTCATAGATAGTTGCCGCCAAGCATATATACAATATAAAGGTTTTATTTGGATCTCATTGTCTAAAGTTTAGTCACTAAAGTTTAGACCATTTTAGCTTTTGAGGCGCTAAACAAATAGTCTAAAGTGCTATCTAAAGTTCAGTCAACCTCATAAAAAGACCATTTGGCTAAGTGATGTCTTAACTTTAAGCAACTAAACTTTAGATCATAATAAGATCCAAATCGTTATATATATTAACATTGTCTATTATTGGAAATTAAAGGTTTCGTCTAGGTTATCCCACCATCACCAATTACGCATCGAAACAGATCGAAGTAATCCATTGCAATAACACGCAGAAGCCTCTGAGAATTAGATGAGCTAATCTGGATGCCTTGTTAGGCAGCCACGTAACGATTTGCTCTCATCAGGCCACGCTCATTTGTCATCGCAACTCTCGCCACGTTTATCAGCTGATGCAAGCCATACAACCCCGTGGTTGACCCAACCTCGCTACCGCTTAATTAGCTCCTTCAGCTTCTTTCCCCCAGCTGCAGCCGGGTGTGCTGCCAGAGTGCCATGCCATGCCACATTGCCATCTGTCTGGTGCCCGGGAGTTGGCGGAGCACAGGTTGGTAGGTTCAGCCGAACAGCGGTCTGCTGCACGCACACCCGGCGCTTTGACAAGTGTGGCCCGGAGCCGGTGTCTGGTGCCGCTCGCTGATCTCCTCCTTTTCTCAATGCAAAGAACACACTTGTCCTTCGCAGGATCCATGGTTGAACGTGAACGTGTGGCGGCAGCTACGCGGCAGGACAGATCTGACCCCTTCGTTCATGTGTCCAGCTTCAACAAGAACTGTTACTGTTTTGCTTATATTACAGTATATATAAACACCCATTTGCTTATATTAATGCTTGGACCAAGCTTAGGAGTTAGGACCGACACAGGCAAGCAGAAACGCGTAACTGCAGGCTAGCTCCAGTTTTTTTTTTTTTGGATTGAAAAAAGCCTGTGTCGGTCGTTGTTTATCCCCGTACGGCAGAGCCGGTCCAGCCCGGACAGCGCCAACACTAGTAGCCCAAAAAAAACAGCACATGTGGGCAGCGCGAGGCGCAGCCAAGTGGCTCACGGGGCAGCTAGCCGAAGCGAGGAGAAGAAGAGCGAGGGGTGGTGGTGGTGCGGGAGGACACGCAGAACGATCGAGCTATCCAGTTGGCAGTTTGGCGCGGCGCTGGCGTGACGGAGGATATCGGGCAGGCGATCGGTCCAGGAGATACGGCACGGCACACGCCAGTCGCCAGCCAAACCCAAAAAAAACACAAGTGCGAGTTCGGTGGGCTGCACGCCGCCACCACACATGCTGCTGCGTGCCGGCTCGATCTCGATCGCCGCCTCATGATTGGCCGCCCCCGTCGGGCGCCGTTGCAGGCTTGCAGCCGCAGCCCTGTATTGACGCCAACCGCTGATGGGGGGCTGCTGAGCTGGTCAATCTCGCACAGGATCCAAAGCCTCCGTCCGTCGGTACTCTACAGTGGTAGGAGTAGCACGCAACGATTAGCTACGGCTTTGTTTATTTGAGCTCATCATTAGCTATCGGTTTTGGGGGACCATGGGGCCTAATGATTGTTCTGGGTGGGACGCTTGTTTTTATATTGGCTCCGGATATATTTGTCAGGGCCAACTGTTGCTGTAAGTAGCAAAATTCAGCCCCCCTGTTCTTCAAGAACAAACAGCAGTAACATTTACTTGACTGGGTACCAAGATCCGTCGCAAATTATGGTGTCATGATGATGGAAGTTTCTTACTGTGACTCTACACAGAAAGT